CGATTGTCTAGAATTCGTATCTGACACTGGAGGGATGTTAATTTGAGTATTCCACTGTTGTAATAAATCACGACCCCATAAATTTATAGCAATATCTGCTACGTAAGGTTTCAATATTCCTTTTTGTCCTTCCGGTCCAATACAAACCATCGAGTTAACACTCCGTCGAACTCTAGATAGAGTTCCAATTCCTAAAAATTGTACATTGGCCTCTTTAAGTGGCCAATTCTTAGGCCAACATTTCTGAGTGATAATAGTCACATCAGCTCCAGTGTCCATTAAACCAGAAATAACTTTCTTGTTAATTTTAATTTTTAACTGAGGCCTTTTATCATTAATAGAAGCTTGCCAAAATATGCGTTTGTCATTTTCACCAGTCACATGTGTCTCACAAATCAACGTGAGACATTTTAGTGGCTGGACAATAAATGTTTCCCAAAGCCGAAAACATTCTGAGGCAGCTAGGAGCGATTCCTTGTTCTGCTGTTTCATGATAGGTGGCTGACAAGTAAAATGAGCTGTGGAGAGCAGGGCGACTGAGAATGACAAGGAAAGTGTGTCATGCGTAGCTCAAGGAGTACATACAGGAAGGCCTTGTGGAATCCTGTTGGAAACGCCGTGTTCCCACATCTCCCAGGAGAAGGAGGAGCAAGGGCCACAGAGTGGGAAATTCTGTAGCCCCTTTGACCTGGCACTGTTTCTCTACACTCTCAGAGTTCAACACATTTTCTCCACAGCCTGGCAAGGTCCATGAGAGTGGAGAGCAATGGCCTCCCTGGGAGATGGAGTAAAAATGGGGTCACAGTTTTATGTGGTCACCACAGTGTCTCATCGTCCCAGGCTGGTCCAGGTGTATTTAGGCAAAATGATGAACAAAACTCTTAAACACAACCGACCCAAGCCTTCTAAAGAGCTGGGTCTGCCTTAGGAGACATAGTTTCTTCTGTACACACTAACAAAAGCAGGGTCACAGATAGCATTCTCAGAGCTTCCTTTCCATAAATTCAAAGCACCTTCTCCATTCAGACAATTTTCATCTCTTTTGGGAGAAGCACATTTTAGCATCCTCCTTTGTAGTTTCCAAAACACCCGAAGGGTCCAAGGGATGAACGCTAAAGCTCCAGGGAGAGGAACTGGCAGCTTCCAGAGACCTAACCTCCACAGCTTTGTTCTTGCTCTGTTGAGAGGAAGCTTGGTAGGGAGCCTAGTTGTGAAAGACAGTGTTTTCCAAGTTGAGGGAGGACCAGAAGAGACTCTCCCAAGGGTGAGCCATGCTTACCACTGCCTACTATTACAATTAGCAGGATTTCCAGAAACCTTCGAGTCTAGACTCAGGCCATCTAGATAACAAACATTTAACTGACATTAAGCAGAGGGGGCTGGGAGTAGGGTTTTGAGTAGAGTGCTGGCCCCTATGCTAATACCCTTAATGCCCTGGTTTTTCTCAAAGGGGGGATGGGAGACAGAAGAAAACTGGGCAAAGGCTGTGGACAGACAAGATTTCAACTCCATCCCCTTTCCTAATTCTTGCTGTGTCAAGCCAGTATACGTCTTGCTGGATCCTTGCTTTGCTTATAAATTAAGGATGATAATCTCTGCCCGTTGTAATTTATAGAGTGCTTTGGAAACTTAAGTATATGGGGAATTCTAGAACATTTTAATACATTTTATGGATGGAACATGTCCTTGTCCCTTTCAGAAGGAACTGCTCTGATCCCTGAGGTGGGTACACACTGTTTTAAACTTGCCCCTGAGTTTCTTAAGATTTGTGATAGGATCTTGAAAACAAGATCAGCTCTAGATTGCACTTAATCTCAAAACAGAAGATGTTTTGAAATAGAAGATGGAAGAAGATACACTAGGAGATTCCATCTTGACACTATTTCAGTGGGTTTTAGCTGGAGACGAGTGGTGTAACTTCTGCCTTCACTCTTCCCTTTATCTCCAGTACCAAGAGCTTCTTGCCTCACTCACACACTGACTTTCCCCTCTGCTTCCGTTCTAGGAAATTGATGGAAAATCCCTGCTCTTGATGACGAGAAATGACGTGTTGACAGGACTTCAGTTAAAATTGGGGCCTGCTCTGAAAATCTATGAGTACCATGTAAAACCTCTTCAGACCAAGCATTTAAAGAACAACTCTTCATAGTAAAATGAAATTGAGGTCTCAGTCCTCAAAACAAAAGACAGGGTGATGAAATTTAGTTTCTAGTTGTCAAACCTCACGAACAGAATATTTACATGTGTGTATGTAAAGAATTACGATCCAACAAAGCGTTATCCTATTGGATAGACTAGGCAATCCATTGGCTGGCCTGTCTCAGCCTGGAGGAGCAAAGCCAGAATGTGCACAGGATGGTTGTCCTTGTCAAACCGAGTCATCATTGACTCTGAGATACCCCTCCCCTCGGGGCTTTGGAATCACAAGAATTTTCTTTGCTTCATTGTAGATTGTTTTCTGTCAACTCCTTAAAAAGGGGGTGGATGTGAAATGAGGGATTTGGGTTATAGACTTAGAAATGAGTACAAACAAAACTCAGCGGGACGGGGGAAGAGTGAGGGAGTGCTTGAATTGCTCTGCCTCTTAGCTGTGTGGATGGAATTGCCAACTCCTCTTTTTTTTGTAGAGGGTTCTCCACTTGACCTTCTTAAGGTTTCACAGGGTTGTGCTATGCTGTGCTGTGCTGTGCTGTGCTGTGCTGTGCTGTGCTGTGCTGTGCTGTGCTGTGCTGTGCTGTGCTGTGCTGTGCTGTGCTGTGCTGTGCTGTGCTGTGCTGTGCTGTGCTGTGCTGTGCTGTGCTGTGCTGTGCTGTGTGTGAATCAAACTTGCACCAAGCTCCCTTCAGGAGCAGAACTCTCTCTGCAAAGAGAAACTTGCTTTGCACTGGACACACCTTGTGATCAACTCATTGTCACGGGGGTAAGAATATTTCCAGCTTATGTTGGTTCCTTGTTGCTGAAGAAAGCATTTAGAGGCTGTGGGGGGTTTTGTTTGTTTTTGATTTTTACTTTATGGTTTGTATTTATGGTAATTCTGAAGCTATTTGCCAAGAGTTAGTAGATCCCAAAGCTTTGTTAATAGCACAGAATATTTTTATATATATACATATATATTCCTCCATAATTCTGTAATATTTTCTTAAATGCCATGTGCTGTGTTTGGTCCCTGGTTTGAGTACTTGTCTTTCAGAACTTGAAAAAGTGGGCTTGCTACATCTCTGTTCAAAGAGACACTTGCTGAGTGATATTTGTCCATGCCTTGTTGAGTTAGTGCTTTGTGTTTGCAATAAAACACTGCTTCAGATCACCAAGAATGTCTTCAGTTTCTTCTCATTTGATCCCTTCCTTGATGATTAAAGATTGACAACATTTCCTTGAATACCCAGGGAGAAATTTAAGCTTTAAGAAGAAAACTTCAGAGTGAATGAGATGGCTTAGTGGGCAAAGGTTCTTGCCACCAAACCTGAGGACTTGAGTTCAAGCTCTGAGTATACACATGTGCACACAAGTACACACACACACACACACACAAATAATACATTTAAATTTTAAATAAAATAAAACTAAACTATGTAGACCTATATATAAATTGAATCTTATATAAGGCTAAATCACCCCCAACAGATCTCATTCCTTCTTATAGTCCACCCAGTAATCAATTTTAGTTTAACCAAGAATTTTTTTACCTGCCTATCGAAGTCATGATTTGACCCAAAGCTTAGCAGAGAGTCTGTGGGCCTCTGACTTTGCCTCTTCTCCCTCTTGTAAACATTACCCTATTGCTCTACAGGGAACATTTCTCTGAAGACCATAAAATCTAATTCTATTTATTTTAAATATTATATTTTACTTGTGCGAGTGTTTTGTCTACATGTGTGTCTGGGTATTGTGTGTATCCCTGGTTCCCAAAGAAGCCAAAAGAGGGCATCAGACCACTTGGAAGTGGAGTTGCAGATTATTGTGAGCTGCCCTGTGGGTGCTAGGAAATAAACCCCAGTCCCCTGAAAGAGCCAACTGTGATCCTAACTGCTGAGCCATCTCTCCAGACCTCAGAGCATAAAATCTAAAGATAAGAGTGAAAAGACCTAGAAAATGGGATAGTTCAAAATTCCAAGATGTGTCCCGGGCTGGTAATACAGCTCAGCTGGTAGAGTGCCTGCCTGGTACACGCCGGTCATAAATTTGATTCCAGGCACCACACAGTCAGGGCATGGTAGCACATATTTGTAATTCTAGCATTTGGAAGGTGGAGGCAGGTAGACCTGGCTTACTTAATGAGTTCTTGAGGCTAGTCTGGGTTATAGGATGCCGTACCTCAAATAAACAAAATTGGATTTTAAATTACTTCAGTTAACGAGTTTATGGGTTGTCTATACTTCCAATGTTTTGTTTTGCACTATAAGCACAAAAGAGATACTTTCTAGTCCCCCAACTCCTGCATAGGGCACAGGTACGATGGACAGAACAAAGTGAAGCACCAGGAAAAGCAGCAGAGGCAGCTAAGACCACAGCCCGTGGAGAGCTGGGTAAGAGCTGGAAGAAGAGGGTGGAAGAGAACTTGATTAGAACCTTTATAAACGGATAGCTGAAGGGATGCCCACAACTCACCTGCTTCAGCACCTCTGTGTCAACTGGAAAGGGGCCCCTTGGGAGTGATGGGGACTGCCCACGGCACCCTCATCCCTGTTAGTGTAACAAGGTGTAAGCCTACTCTGTCCCCGTCTAAATGTCCAGAGAAGGGGGACGGAGATGATGCTCCATCATCGTACAGCATAAAACTGTTGTCTTAGATACTGCCATCACCACAGGCATTCCAGCCAGCAGAGGGAAGGACGAATCGAAGGAACAGAACTTCGTTCTTTTAGGACAGGGATTCTCAACCTTCCGAATGCTGCGACCCTTTAATCTAGTTCCTCATGTTGTGGTGACCCCCAACCATAAAACATTTCCTAACTGAAAACTGCTTCCTAACTGAAGCTGACATTAGCTGAATCCTAATGTCAATATCTGATATGCAGGATATCTGACTGCGACCCACAGGGTGAGGACCTCTGTTTTAGGGCATTTCTTCCTCATCTTACATCTTGCTGACCCCAGAACCCTGATGCCACTCAGAAGCTGCAAAGGACACTAGAAGTGTTCTTTTCCTGTGAACCCATGAACCTAGTTAGGAGCCCACACTTCATTACTCTGTTAGAAAGTGAAATAGATTTGCCCTAACCCAGCTTGCTTGGGCAATAATATCTGACCGCACGTGGTCTCTCGAACTCTGTGCAAAGGAAAAGAATGTAACGAAGCAACTGAACCTCAGCCAGTCCCAAGCTGAAGGTCAGATCCCTAGCAAAACATCACACCTAAGTGGAGCAACTAGGTCATCTCTTTATGTGATTTCCTTCCTCATCTTAAGAAGCCAGCCTGTGGCATCCTCTGGCTGCATGGATGCCCACTTCTAGAACCCGTTTCTTGCTCAAGCTTTCTTGCATTTCAGGGTTTGTTTTCCTTTTAATGCAAATGGACAGAACTTGGATATGGATGTCTGGTCATAACTTGTAGTTAACTATCATTAGTGAGTCACTAAACACTCTGAGCACAAGATACAACATAAAGGTTTTTAACTCCGTTTTTCTCCAGGTTGAACTTGGCAAATCCTAACTAAGCCTCAGCATAGAATTTCTCTGTGTGTATTGAGAGCAGAGAGATTGTTGAAAAACAAATGGAAAAAATACAAAAAAAAAAAAAATCCGTCATCTGATAACACCTTTCACACAAAATCAGGAAGTTAAAGCTTGCCTGCTGCTCTCACACATGGGATGAGTGAGCTCTGTAGCAGTAACTGAAGGCGTTCTGGCCCTTTCCATCCAGGAATGATCACTTTTGCTGAAATAGGCCACCAGGTTAGCAGACATTCCCCAGGCAGGAGCTTTTGTTCCTCACATTGGATTTCCATGAGTGTAGCCTTGGTCTATAACGGGTCACAATTACATTTGCCCTATGGGAACACATACCATGCATGCAGCAGGAAAGCACTTGCCTGGATGCCAGTGTATTTTATAATTAAAATGTGAGAGCTGATGGTATTAATTTTAGCCACACAGGCAGACAGGATACCAGGATAAGGGAACTTCAAGGAAGCCCCTGCTGTTAGGCTTCCCTCACATTTGAATGTTGAATTAAGGCCCTACAAATCAGATGTAATGGGCTGACTTAAAGTCTAGGTCACAGGCTGGACACTGTCCAGCGGAACCTAAACTGATATATGCTTTCCCTTGGCCAAAGCATCTGTGGTGTTGTGTGTGTGTGTGTGTGTGTGTGTGTGTGTGTGTGTGTTTAAATGATAATGATATCAGGACGCTTCCAATGGGGCTGGAATTTCCAATGTGTTAATGCCTTCCATTTTAGCTTGACACTTTTGCAGTAATTGTCTGGATTCCAAAGGCATTTGAGTTTTAGATACTAACTCTGCTCCACATTATTTTAATAACACACACAAAAAAACCCAGAGCCTTTTTTTGATTAAGTTAATTCAATAGTTAGAGATAGCAAGGCAATTTAATTGAAAAGAAACAAGCTGGCATATTGCACCAGGCCATGCAGCAGGCCTGAGCATTATTTTAAAAGAAATTTTAATTAAAATATAATTACATAATTTCCCCCTTTCCCTTTCCACCCTCAAGCCTCTCATGAGAATCATTTTCTTTTTCTTTCTTTCTTTTTTTCTTTCTTTTTTTTTTTTTTTGGTAGTGGATAGTTAATGGACATGGATGTGGAGAAGAAGGTCAATTGCTGGTCTTCATTTTATTTTAAACAAACATGAATATAGAAATGAATATAGAATTTATTTTGTTGTTGGAGTCTAGTATATGTTGTCAGGAACAGAAATCATCCTTTGACTGCATTAGTGAAATATATCTTTGGGAGAATTTAATTTGCAAAAGTCTAATAAACCACACCACAGTTGCCCAACCACTTCCAGATTTGGAGGTCAAAGGAGAAGAGCACTCTGGTGGAGGGCAGGTAGGTGTTCACGGTCTTCGCAAAGGGATCTGCAGGGTCAGACCTGGGCCGGGAGCCATGCAGTGCTTCTCTGTAATGACGTGGGTTTGGGGATGAATGAAGTTAAGTGTTCAAAGAGCTTTCTGCTTCAGGACCCAAATGCCTCTTAGGAAAACCTATTCATCC